ATGTAAATGAGAAATATGGTAAGTTAAAGGTACTGTTTATTTTATTTCAAGTAATGAAATGCTTTTATGGTTTTAGATGATAGATACGACCCTGTGGAGAATAATGATTTTTGTGCTTTATCCTAATTATCCTAGAAGCTTTCTCAGTAATATGCCCCTGTGCGCAGGCGCTGGCGGGGGCCGCTCTAAACGAGACGAGGAGCCGATGCAGACGGACGGTTACGCTCCAGGACCCAAAGACAACCCGCTGTACACAGCCGAGCCGCTGACGCTGGACGACCTGACGCTGCTGTCTGAGCTCTTCTATCTGCCGTACGAACACGGAGCCACGGCCGTGCTCATGCTGCAGGAGCTGCACTGTCTGCGCAGAGAGGACTCAGAGCGGGTCAGCATCAGAAGAGCCTCCACACAAACACTAGTCCCGCCCCCAGCTTCATTCTGATTGGTCCTTCGTCGTCAAGCTTGACACTGATTTGTCATCCTGCAGAACTAATGCATTTCACTCGACACAAAGTTGCTTTAAAACGTCCTGTGCGTGTGCCACTTAAAACTGGTCGTTCTGAAATTAATTCTGCTTTTTAAGCCTAGCAGTCAAACATTAGAAACATCAGAAGCCTTGCAGAAGATGGGTTCGATACCACAAAAATATCCCCAACGTGCAAAAAAAAAATATATATATATATATACACACTTATGATTTAGTTTAACATATCCTGCCCCTTTCTTATTCACATTCCTTTGCATAACTATATTATTTTATCTATATATAGATTATTTCGTACATATTTTAAAAAGTTATCTTGTGTAGTTATTTATATATATATATATATATATAATAAAAAATAGTAAAATCATTCAAAAAAAGACGACAGATAATAATTATAATAAATATATATATGCAATTTTTTTGGGAATATACACACAAACTAATGTTATTCACTGATTTATTGTCTTGTTTATATATATATATATAATAAAAAATAGTAAAATAAAAATCATTCAAAAAAGACAGAATTATTATATATATATATATATATATATATATACAGTACAAACGATTAATTGCATCCAAAATAAAAGTTTTTGTGTACATAATATATATGTGTACTGTGTATATTTATTATGTAAGTATATATAAATACACATGCATATACCTATATACTTAGGAAAAAAATCACATATATTTACATATATATAAATATATTTCGTATACAAACATAACATATTTTTCTTAAATATATACATGCATGTGTGTGTATTTATATATACATAATAAATATACACAGCACACACACATATATTATGTAAACAAAATGCGATTAATCGTTTGTCTCCACTAATATATATATATATAATATTTATTATCTTATTAAAACGATTTTTTAGGAATATATTCACACAAAATAATGTTATTCACTGATTTATTGTATTGTTTATATATATAAACTTGTTTTATTATCTGTCTTGTTTTCACATTTTGATTTTATACACTTAAGAATAAATGTAGAATTTATTTATTTATGCATTTAGCAGACATTTTCACTTATAATTGAGGAACAATTCGTCAACAGTGCTGGTAATACACAATGTCATGTTTTGAGTGTTATACTGAAAGCTTCAGCAAGACAAATCTCGGTTATGAATCATATGTTTACATTGAATGCACTGTAAGTAGTTCTGGGTAAAACCGTCTGCTAAATGCATTGCTGTAAATGTGACTGTGTGTCGATCGCCGCAGGGTAAGGAGGAATGGCGGCGGAGAGCGGGGAAGTTTGACGACATGTGCGGCGCTGTAGTGCAGATGTTCAACAGACTATCCAACGTTCCCAACCGGATCATCCTGTACGACCTCTACAACTACATCTGTGACATCAAGAGCGGCGTCACCATGGCCAAAGCCTACGTCAAGACTCTGGGTGAGAGCCCGAGTGATCATAAAGCGATAACCCCCGTGAAGCCGTGGTTTACAGTGAATTTATAACAGCTAAGGGGGTTTATTCACTGTAAACCACGGCTTCTCGGGGGTTACTGCTTTTATAAAATGGTTATTGCATACACGTAGTAAGGTTTCACAAAATAAAGCAGAGCAAATAAAGTGTAATGATATTAATAAACACAGTATTCTTCCACCAAACAATGTAGCTCCTCAGAAACAGTTGTGGTTGCTACAAAGTGGTTGCCGAGCAACACACAAACGTAAACAAAGGTGTGTGTTACTTTGTAGAGTGAGTTTAACGCGGCTCAGCCAATCAGAATCAAGCACCGGAACGCTCCGCTTTATAAGATTATAAACACCTCGTGTGTTTGTGTTGCAGGAGGTCAGACGCCTCATCCCGCTCTCGCTTTAACCGACGATCCCGAGCCGTGGGGCTTCAGAGGAGGACTGTCCGGAGAATTCCAGGTACGCTTCTGTACGACACTGACCTTTGACCTGCGACCGGGCCTTCAGCTCCTGACGGTGTTTGTGTCGATGTTTAGCGGATGCTGCCGTCTCACGGGATCCGTGACCTGTTCCGCAGTCCTCCGGCCACACGCGTGTACACCATACGACCCTGCACTCCTAAAGACCAGGTGACACGCTCTTAAAGAGACAGTCCACCAGAAATCATCCTTTACTCACCTGCATGTCTTTCTACTTGGTTCCTATTGACAAACACCAGTTTTGTTTTGTTTTTAAGCCTCTTGTGCTCAGCAACGCTGCATTTATTTGATCTAAAATACAGTAAAAATTGTGAAATATTATTATAATGTAAAACAGCTGTTTTCTCTATGTATATATACACATATATGTATATATATATATATATATATATATATATATATATATATATATATATATATATAAATTAAACAGTAAGTCTTCTGTACGATTGGAAATGTATTTTCTTCCATCTGATATAAATGTTGAAATTTTTTGGGGAATATGAAGGTAGAAAGTAAATATATTTTCAGTTTCAAAAATATATTTTGTTCAGCTTCACTGTTTACAACTTATATTTAAAATATATTTTGGCCAGAGAAATTTTTTATTTTTTTGCCGTATGTGTTCTTGCGACTCTCTTCTGTGTTTGTGTCCAGCCGGAGGTGCTGAAGATCTTCAAGGAGATGCAGATCGAGACGCAGCAGAAGGTGGAGCTGGTTGGCGACCGGTGAGAATTCACACCAGTTAGTTTGGTTAGGTTAGTCGCCGAGCGCTTAATCAGACCGGTTTCTCCATCAGGCTGGTGGAGGGTCACGTCACGCCGTCGCAGAACTGCAGTCTGATCCTAGACGACGCGGCTGGAGTCTGCGGTTACGCGTTTGCCCTCAGCGACGCCAAGACAGCCATGACTAAAGCTCAGGTACGGAAACAAACTCTTACTCAAGTTTCAAAACGTCTTGGACTTCAACATCTTTGTGTTTCCTCCAGTATCCAGAGACCATGCTGCAGGATTTCCCATCAGTCGTGGCCATTCAGATCCACTCCAGAGTTCCTGATCACAGCACAGCCGAGCGGCTGATCGAGCAGATGCTGTCAGCGCTGAGAGACAGCGGTGAGTTTAACAACACTCTCCACCAATCAGAGACATCAGCAGCGTTACATTAGTCACCGGTCTCACCGCACGCTCAGCAGCTGATTGCAAGCTGTTCATCCAAGTGTGTTTCCACAGGGTCTAAAGGGGTTTTCAGCGAGTTCAGATCCAACGACAGACGAATGTACGACTTCCTAAAGACGCTGGATGTGTTTCAGGTGCTTAAAGTCGACGGGCTTCCGACCAACCTGGTCATCATGGGGACTAAACTCTGACGGTCCACATACAGACAATAATCTAACCATTAATTTGTGTTTTTTTAATTAATTCTTTGATTAAATCCATGATTTAGTTGGGGTATAAAATAAAACAACCCCCGTGAAGCCGTGATTTACAGTGAACTTATAACAGCTAAGAGGCGTTGTTAGGTACGACGCGAAGCGGAGTTAGCTGTTATAAATTCACTGTAAACCACGGCTTCTCGGGGGTTATTGCTTCTATAAAACGGTTATTGCATATACGTAGTAAGGTTTCACAAAATAAAACAGAGCAAATAAAGTGTAATGATATTAATAAACACAGTATTCTTCCACCAAACAATGTAGCTCCTCAGAAACAGTTGTGGTTGCTACAAAGTGGTTGCCGAGCAACACACAAACGTAAACAAAGGTGTGATACTTTGTAATTTACAACAGCTTTGAACGCGGCTCGGCCAATCAGAGTCAAGCACCGGAACTCTCTGCTTTATAATACAAACATAAATTAATTTTGCAGGAATGCACCTATAAAAAAAATCGAAATGTCTCAAATCAATAATAAATCTTTATTTGCATTCATTTTAATATGCATGTCTCATTATTTTTTTAATCAATCCCACAAATCAAAGACGTATTATATAAACATATCCAGTGTAGTTTATACACTTAAAAAAAAAAAAAACACTAAAATCAGCAAAAAAATAAATAAAATGGGTTTTGAGGTGTTGTAGGTTTTAATAAAGGCAAATAATTACTGGAATTCTTCTCATTAGTGCATTTCTCAAAGTACGTATTTATTTATTACACAGGGTTTCTGCACGTTTAATGAAGGTAAATTTAAAACTTTATAAGACCAAAAAAATTTACACAATATGTGTCCCTGCAGCACAAAAGCAGTGTTAAGTCGCTGGGGGATATTTGTAGCAATAGCCAACAATACATTGTATGTGTCACAATTATACATTTCTCTTTTATGCCAAAAATCATTAGGATATTAAGTAAAGATCATGTTCCATGAAGATATTTAGTAAATCTCCTACTGTAAATATATCAAAACTTAATGTTTGATTAGTAATATGCATTGCTAAGAACTTCATTTGAACAACTTTAAAGATGATTTTCTCAATATCTAGATTTTTTTGCACCCTCAGATTCCAGATTTTCAGATATTGTCCGATCCTAACAACCCATACATCAATGGAAAGCTTATTTATTCAGCTTCAGATGATGCATAAATCCCAATTTTGAAAAATTTACCCTTATGACTGGTTTGTGCTCCAGGGTCACATATGTTCCCGTAATATAAATGTCTCTAAATAGAACTTTCAACATTACTTTTAGCTATCTGTACTGGAACATGTTCATTTGTTGCAGTGCATGCAGCATTTAATGCCATGGCTTTATTTTAAAGCCTTAGTTTGTGAAAACGTGAATTAGGATGTTTTAAGACCTGCAGAAACCCCGTTCTGTTTGTTAGAGGTTTCCTCTATTATTGCATTTGTTTCCCGTTGCTGTTTTTCTGTCTGGTCCCACATTGGGGACATCCGTCTGAAAATATACTGGCCAGTGTTTCAATGCATTATGGGTAACGGGTGGCTGCACTTTTGTTGTGTTTTACGTCACTGAAGTCTTTGAGTCGATCACGGAGCCGTCTTGTCTATATGAACTCCAGTCCTTCATATTTGACGTCTCCGATCTTGGTGTCAGGCAGCAGGATTCGTCCGTCCAGCGTGAAGGCCGTGATGTATGTGGCGATTTGTCCCGCGTCCTCCTCCGATTTGAGCGCCAATACGATCTGGTCGTCTGTGTCTGGGATGAACTTGAAGGAGGAGAAGCCGAAGGTGGGTTTGAGCGGCCCGACGCGCGACGCTGAGATCTGACTGAAGTCCGGCGAGCAGCTCAGGACGAGGTTCGTGCCGCGGCGCTCGTCTGCTGTTTCCTCGTAGCGTTCAGAGCTAGCGCGGCGAGGGAGGAAGAACCAGCGCTGGAGACGCTCGCTCCACACGGCCGACTCGTGGATGAGATAACCTGAGACAGAAGAGAAACACATACAATATCAGATAGTATATAATATATGTGACCCTGGAGCACAAACCAGTCATAAGGGTCAATTTTTCGAAATTGAGATTTATACATCATCTGAAGCTGAATAAATAATCTCTCCATTAATGTATGGTTTGTTAGGATCGGACAATATTTGAAAATCTGGAATCTGAGGGTGCAAAAAAATCTAAATATTGAGAAAATCATCTTTAAAGTTGTTCAAATGAAGTTCTTAGCAATGCATATTACTAATCAAACATTAAGTTTTGATATATTTACAGTAGGACATTTACAAAATATCTTCATGGAACATGATCTTAATCCCCTAATGATTTTTGGCATAAAAGAGAAATGTATAATTGGGACTCATACAATGTATTGTTGGCTATTGCTACAAATATCCCCCAGCGACTCAACACTGCTTCTGTGCTGCAGGGTCACATATAAGGTTATATATAAGATAGTATATAAGAAAACATGGTTATATTTTAGATAATGTCTAAGCATATACTATATATTAGGAGTGTGTGATATTGACAAAAAATAATATCTCGATATTTTCTGGGATTTTATCGCTAACGATAATTGTTAGGATCGGACAATATTTGAAAATCTGGAATCTGAGGGTGCAAAAAAATCTAAATATTGAGAAAATCATCTTTAAAGTTGTTCAAATGAAGTTCTTAGCAATGCATATTACTAATCAAACATTAAGTTTTGATATATTTACAGTAGGACATTTACAAAATATCTTCATGGAACATGATCTTAATACCCTAATGATTTTTGGCATAAAAGAGAAATGTATAATTGTGACTCATACAATGTATTGTTGGCTATTGCTACAAATATACCCCAGCGACTCAACACTGCTTCTGTGCTGCAGGCTCACATATAAGGTTATATATAAGATAGTATATAAGAAAACATGGTTATATTTTAGATAATATCTAAGCATATACTATATATTAGGAGTGTGCGATATTGACAAAAAATAATATCTCGATATTTTCTGGGATTTTATCGCTAACGATAATACGACGATATTTTGCTGGGTGTGTTATTGTGCTGATATCTTAAAGACTGCCGAAGACAGCTGACTCCTAAAGTTTTTGATATTCTTCATGTTCTGTGCGGTGGTCAGTTCATACTGATAGAAATTAATCTTTTCCAATAAGTTTAAACTGATTTTTACATTTTATGGGTTTAAACTGAATTTTTTTCTTAAAAGTGTCCATTATCTTTTGAATACTGATATTTGAAATTATTTAAATAATAAAAGATACTTTGAATGTGATATTAAAACCGCCAGCAGGTGGCAGCAAGTCACTGTTAAGAAGTGAGTCATTTCGACTGAACCGAATCATTTAAACGGTTGATTCATTCAGGAACGAATCGCCGTCATGTTGCTCAGAGATGCAGAACAGTGCTGTGGTTGTGTTTGGAATTTCATTTTTGGAGAAAAAAAACGGCACTCTTTGTGTGAAATTGATTAACTAGGCTATTTGAAGTGGTATAAATATACACATTTTCTGCCATCATGTTTTGAATTTGTGATCATTCTAAATGTATTTTAATAGACTGAATAATGCAGTGAAAGAACGCACTCTAAATGCTTTTCACGTAATGTCAAATCGCACATCGTTTAAACAATTACGATATTATCGCAGACGATATACATCACACACCCCTACTATATATGATTATATATCAAATAGAATTCCAGAAGTAAGTGTACATGCGTGAATTGATCAAGTGTTTTTCACTAAATGTTTTCAGAAATTAAGCATATTGAATCAAAGTACGTTTCTCCTCCCACAGCAGGTCATGTGATCATGATCAGGTGTGTGTGTGTGACTCACCTGGCGGTTTGATATCTGCTGCTTTCTTGAGCGCGTTATACCGCGGTACCCAGTTCTCGTGCTCCACATCACCATGGAAACCAACCAGCTTCACCCACTCGGGGTTGTTATTGACGAACTCGCCGGTGATAGTCGTCCACTCCTTCCCGAGACCACCGACATACAGACGCTCGTCCTTCACCGCCAACCACTCCGCCTTAAAACCTGCCGCCAAAGGTCAAATGTCAAGGGAAAGATCACACTTGCAGGACACACTAAAACCATGCACTTTTGAGCATGTAAAAAATTGCGTCTAGATAATTAATTCCTCATAGATAGTTCAACACGTGTGGTTTATTTCTGATGTACTTCCTATTTAAACAAGTTGGATTAAACATATGCACTTGATTTTCATAATTAGTCCATTCTGATTTCATGTGACTTTAAATGATACAGAATGACACGAGTACACAATAATCTAAGATGATATATGTAGCCAGTCAAAAGATTTTTTTATGTTTTTGACTGAAGTCTCTTCTGCTCAGCAAGGCTGCATTTATTTTATAAAAATACAGTTAAATTGTGAAATACTTTTGAAATACAAAGCTGATTTTTAGAAACATTTCTGATTATTATCAATGTTGAAAACAGTCGTGCTGCACAATATTTCTGTGGAAACTGTGATACATTTTATTTTTCAGGATTCACAGATGAATAGAAAGTTCAAAAGAACAGCATTTATTTGAAATAGAAATCTACTGTAACATTATAAATGTCTCTACTGTCACTTTTGATCAATTTAATGCGTCCTTGATGATGATTAAAAGTATTAATTTCTTTTAAATTCTTCTTTTAAATCTTATACTCCAAACTTTTGAACAGTAGCATATCATGGTTTACACAAACTAAAACTTAAAAAATTTTAACATACTATATTCACATAGAAAACAGCTATTTTAAATTATAATATTTCACAATTTTTACTGTAGTTTTGAGCAAATAAATGCAGCCCTGGTGAGCAGAAGAGACTTCTTTCAAAAACTTTTTTTTTTTGTTAACGGTAGTGCAAAAGATAGTATATAATATATAAGGTAATAAATAGTTACTATAAGATATACACTGCTGGAGTCTCTTTAAAAGAGACATATTATGCCCCTTTCTACAATATGTAATATAAGTCTCTGGTGTCCCCAGAATGTGTGTGTGAAGTTTCAGCTCAAAATACTCCACAGATCATTTATTATATCATGTTGAAAATGCCTATTTTGAGTGGAAGCAGAAACACGCTGTTTTTCGTGCCTTTCTCTTTAAATGCAAATGAGCTGCTGCTCCCCGGAGTCCCCGCCCCCTTTTCCAGAATAGAGCTGCACCATTACAGCTTGTACCTGCTAAAACATCTGTTTTGGTTCTGATTATCATGTTTATCGTGCTGAAATCATGCGTTTTAAAGCATATGAGTTTAAACTTCTGATAAAGGGTTTTCTGAGCGCACACATCTGAAGCACACGCACAGAAAGCGGCTGTCACAGCACGTGAGCACTAAACTAAGCTCTCATTCACACACAAGCTTACGTTAAACACACACGAGTTACAAAAACAGTGGGTTATGTCTGTGAAGGTAAACAGCTGGGAAATAAATAACATGTTTATTTTAGATCTGTGTGGCAGCAGCAATATACAGTAAATAAATCAATAAATGCACTGCTCTCGTCTCGTCTGAGGCTGGGACTCTAAACAGTGTTCTGTGCTCGTCTCTGCAGCCAAACACAGAACAGTTAGTGTGTTTTGCTCAAACTTTCATCATGACATTAGAGCTGCTACACCGTTGTCGCTTGTGAAATCACAATAACGGCGCCGTGGGTGTAAACTTACAGATTAAGGGGCGGTAATATTATAATGAGATCCCTTTGCCACGTCACCAAGAGAGTGAAATCAGACGCGCTGGTTTTCTCAGACGCTTGCAGAAAAAGGCTTCCCAAAACAAAGTTACTGGGTTAATCTTTTTCACGTTTGCTTGGTTGGTAGATGCACCGGGGACCTGATTATAGCACTTACAACCTGGAAAAGTCCCATTTTCATGATATGTCACCTTTAAGTTGTTCCCATATAAAGAAACAAAACACACAAGCCATATTTACCTTTAGACACGCTGCCGTCTCCATCCGGCAGGATGACCCAGGGTACGGCTCGGTTGCCCTCTATCCGGTACACCACACCGGTACGGTCGTCCACGCTGTACAGGTGCCCGTTAAACACCACCAGCTCAGACAGCTCCATCCCGCGGCCCTTCTCTGACAGATGACTCTCCAGAACCACCGTCTCCGGATCCCACTCCACGGACACGCTGTCCCCGCTGTCGGACACCAGCAGGTGGCCTCGTTTCAGGAAGCTGAACCATGTGTTGTCCTTCTGGCTGCGCGAGTTCATGTCCAGGTCTGCTATGACTCCGATCCGGTAGCGGACCGCCCTAGCCGTGTGTTCCGGAGGACTGAGCGGGTACGTGTCGTTATAACGCGAGTCCACCGATTCGGCCGCGGCCATCACACCTGATACGTCCCGGCTGGAACGCCACGAGCGCTGGCTGCTACCTTTGCTGTCGGTGGAGCTCGATGATGTTTGGTGCAGGTACGCGAGGACGGCCAAAGCCAGCAGGATTACCACCGTGATGGCTCGCCATCGGAAGCGGAAACGCAGGTCGGAGATGGAGCTAGTGAAGGAGGAGAACATGGAGACACCATGAACGGAAACCCGAATGGAGTCACGGCTCTCTGTTGACATGGAGAAGAGAAGAAACTTGAAATGATGAATGAATAAAAGTTCTACTTTCCATGATAAAACATCTTTTGGACGTTGGGATATAAGTGCAAATGCAGGTTCAGATTTAAAGCAAGACACCACAGGTGAATAAGATAAAAACAATAACGGCGCATGAATAATCATCTACTAATACCTACATTTAATATGAGCTGTATTAGTACATGATTATTCATGTACTGTTATTGTACAGTGTTACGGGTAAAAATGTGAACTAACCAATATCACCATACTTACCCAGCTGATTAATCACAGTACATTAAGGGAATTGTTCTCTATCACTAATTTTACAAAATGTTATGTTTAAATATGCACTAATTTGCATACATTTCAAGAACATAAATCTGAACACTGGATAAAGCCAGATTTAAAATTCTGGTTTGGGTTTGTTGTCATATTAGAGTGAAAGGTTTTTATAGAGGGGATTTTGGATTTCTCTTTTTATCACTCCATAAATCATAAAATACTGTCAGCAGACCGAAAACAAACACATTTTCACCATATTTTTAGGAATAAGATGTTGTATAAATCAGTGTGAATGGTATATCAACAAACCCCTCAGTAAAAACCTTCAGAATATATACAGGAATAAAACTCTAAGTTTTGGTGTTTGTAAGTGCTGCTGAAGTGGAGAAAAAACTCATTTTGAGAAAACAGCTTTTAAAGATATGTACTATAATTGAAATCTAAGGCAAATTCCTTGTTTTTCCATGCACAGTTTTTTAGTTGGTTTTTGAAATTTTGCTCCATTTTGCTTCCATAACATATCTTCTTTCAGCCTAGAGGAATGAAAACGTCGAAAATAGACATTTAAGTGTTTATATTTTATTGCACTTTATCTATTTCCGCCTGTATATTTTAATTCCAATCCATATCTTTAAAAAGTTTTTTCTCCACTTCAGCAGCACTTACAAACACCAAACTTTACAGTTTTATTCCTCTCTATATTCTGAAGGTCTTTAGCGAGGGGATTGTTCATATATCATTTAGATTAAATTTTATTACATTATTGCTAAAAAAAAAAAAAAAGTAAAAAATTTTTTTTTCTGTTGACAGTATTTTATGATTTATGGAGTGATAAAAAGAGAAATCCAAAATCCCCTCAGTAAAAACCTTTAACTCTAATATGACAACAAACCCAAACCAGAATTTTGAACCTGGCTTTATCCAATATTCATATTTATTTTCTAGAAATGTATGCAAATTTAAACAACATGTCAGAAAAGCTGTAACACCAAACAACTGTTTTGATGTACTGTGATTAATCAACCAGGAAATAAGGTGATATTGAACAGCTTTACCTTCCTAACCTGCAGTGTTTTGATTTAAACACACATAACAGTCCCTTGCTATTAAACACTGACTTCCTCATTCGTGCCGAGTTCATATTCGTCTGAGCTACGGCTGTGTGACTATCAAATTTCCAGACGCAGGATTCCCAAATCAGATCCTCACGGAACGGGAATGCTGATCATACCAAACCGTACATCAGCAAACTGTTTACCCTGTTTTTTCAACAGGTCACTGTAGGATACATTGAAAAAGTAAAGGCTGATAAATGCTCAAACAATTGTAGAAAGCATGCACATCCATGACATAATGCAAATCTATTGCTCAACCAAACCTTTTTGCATTTTTTCCCCATGATAAACGCTGCAGCATGTGCACGAAACTAAACAACAGCAAACCTCCCATCCCATAATAATAGCACGTGCCTGAGAGAGTTCAGCACTAAACGTGTCTGTTTAACAATCATTACTACACGCTTCATTAAGAAATTACACGCCACTGCGGCCCAGAGCATGTGAATCTCAGCAACAAACCCTCATAAAACACGCTTCAGAACACCCAGCTGACCTTTAACATTTACATTTTAGCAGACGTTTTTTATCTAAAGCAGCTTACAAATAAGGAATACAACAAACAATTTTCATTAGGAGTGTCAGCTCTTTGGACTCCACTGTATGTAAAATATACAGTATAATGAGTATTCATTAAATTAAATTAAATTAATTAAATAATTTATTTAGTGTCCTGAAAAATTTGTATTAAATCACATTAGAAGTTTTGATCATTCTTAACATAGAAACACTTTAGTTACACATACAGTAATACTTTATATGTTATATTACTCATAACCAGATCAGATACTATACTGTATAGTATAATTATTATTTACTTATTTAGTAATTTATTGTACACACACACATATATATATATATATATATATATATATATAATTTATTACCATCTTAATATTATACATATGTAATATTAAATTCAAATTACTGTATATATTTTTTCTTTCATGATTTAATAAAAAATGTGGAGAAAATAGAATACACTGGATCATTTTTAATATAGAAACATGCCTGAAAGACCATAGAAACATGAATATATGAGCCAAAAACTTCATAAAATAAACTTTTAAAATACATATAAACACAATTTATAAAAATGCATTTACATGTTTAGTTAACTTTCTCTCAAATGGTTATGCCAATCATAATATATTTCAAAAAAATTAGAAACATGCAAAACAGAAGTATTTTCATTGCTAGTGTCAAACTTTTGGACTACACTAAAATAAAATAAAAAATACTTAATTTATTATTTCGTTAAATAACAGTTTTAAAAAAAAAGATAATTAAATTGGATCATGGATCATTTTAATTTGACCAAAAAACATCTGAAAGACACAAGACACGCATAAACCTTCAACCAATCACAGCACGCTTGTAATGCATCTAATCGTTGACACGGCAAGCATGACTTTACCTGTGAAAGGTGAGAGATCACCTGTGAACAAACCAGTCCAACAAAATAAGCAATTATACAACAATTAACATTGTTCATCAACATTGTTGCCCAACACAAACTCACTAAATATGAGTCCAAATCATTCGTAATTCATAAAGTTAAATAAAATCATTCATCATTTATGAAATAACCATTTAAATTAGTACATTTAAAAGAAAAACGGATCAAATTCATATTAAATGTTTCTTTCAAACGCTTATGCCAATCATAAGTTATCAATAAGAACAAAAAAGAACTAAAACACACAAAACTATTTTTACTACGCAAGTAAAAAATTTGACAGTTCCAGTAAAACTATAATATTCTGGTAATATTTTGTTATACTCATAACCAGATCAGTAGCTCATGAACAAACTCATTTATATCTTATTTAATGCAATTAATTAATTTATTTCATATAATTATAATGATATATAATTTAAAATATATTAAGAATTTTATATTATACATACATGTATTATTAAATATATAATTAAAATAATTTATACATTTTAAATTAATTTAACATAATATAGAATATTATATCATATAATAAATAATATTATATATATATGTGTGTGTAACTATAAATGAATAGAATTAATAAATTATACAAACAAACTCATTTATATCTTATTTAATGCAATTAATTAATTTATTTCATATAATTATAATGATATATAATTTAAAATATATTAAGAATTTTATATTATACATACATGTATTATTAAATATATAATTAAAATAATTTATACATTTTAAATTAATTTAACATAATATAGAATATTATATCATATAATAAATAATATTATATATGTGTGTGTAACTATAAATGAATAGAATTAATAAATTATACATTAATTGAACATTATATAAAATATAATAATAATTAGATGTTATTAAATATATTATAGATAGATGATAGATCATTCAAATTATTATGTGTATTATATATACATTTATTAACAATATAATATACATAAAGGTAATATTCAATATATAAATATTAATTAATTTGACATTATATAGACTATTATATAATATAATAAAATTATAAACTACAAGCAGATCATATTATTTTCCAACAAATATATATTTTTTATTTTATGTATTATTATTTTAATATTATATTAAATATATTCATATTTCATTAATAATTTAATATTATACATAAAGGTAATATTCAATATAATAATCACAGTTATGTTTATTATATATATTTATTAATAATTTAAAAAGACACACAATTATATATATATATATATATATATAAATTATACATTTATTTGACATTACATAGACTATTATATAATATAATAAAAATAATAAACTATAAGCAGATCATTTAATTTTCCAAACAAATATACTAATATATTAGTACAAGTATATTTACTTTATTTACTGTAATATTACATATATTAATATTTCATTAATATTATATTCTATATTAATTATTTAATTCAAAATGTGGAGAAACACTTTCTAACTAATGATCATTTCATACTGAAGTAATGTTAGATCATGTTCTCAGTGAAAGTTATTATAAAGTGTTACAGGGTCCTGCGACCCCTGATGCATTTGTTCATTTATTAATATGAACATATTAATATGAATATATAAGTTAATAACGATTAACATTTTACTGCAAGTGAGAGTGAACACGTGCTGCTTGTCACTCATCATCTTCATCATCTTCAACTTTAACAGCCGGAAGTGTCGTGATCTGCGCACGCGCGGCTACGGGTGTTCGATTCCAAGTTTTTAGGAATCGACTCCGATTCCCGACTCCGACCGTAGGAATCGACTCCTCGACTCCCATTTACTTCACATCAAAACAGCGTCAGGAATAACACAAGATTGCAGTCGTTGTTACACACTCGATTACTTATCCCCCCCGACACAATGCCTTCACTACAACAACACAAGTTTAGCGTGACTGCCCCAAACTAGTCCACTTCCACCGCGGGAGTCGATTCAGAGTCGAGGAATCGAATCTTTTAGAGTCGACTCCCCATCACTGCACGCAGCTTTATTTACACATTTCACTCACAAACGCACAGCGTAATCTCATCACAGATAGCCATTCTGGAAGATTTGAGCCTTCTTAACGTATGTCCCTTCTCAGTGTATTATTATTAATATATTCATAGAGTTTTTTCCCGCATCAAGACGACTTGTACAGTTATAAACGAAACTTATGAGCGTTTAAACGTTTCTTTGGTTTGCTATTACCGATAATATATGGACTATTCTTGGAAAATGTAATTTTAATAGCACACACATTAGACTGAAGTAACTCTCGGGAGCTTTTTGCTGAATAACCGGATTTAACCCTTTATAGGGCTGAAGACGAAACGCTCCGAATATCCTTCAAATCGTATCATACTTACTGTATTTCTCAGTGCGATGCAGTGGTTGAGTCTCGTGTGTTACAGCGGTATTTCATCGGTTCTCGCACCGATCTCAGACCGAAACACACACCGGTAGGCGAAGCCCCGCCCATGAAACGCGACGCCGAAGGTTTGCCTCTTGAATATTAATCGCGCGACGCTACGTACGTTTAGCCGATTGGTTGAAAGCAGACGTAGGGAAGCGAGCGCTCAGTTAGCCGGCCAATCACAGCGCGACTTCGCTATTACATATTAATTAGGTCACGCGCCTAGAAACACCGGTTTCCGAGATTTTCGGTTTCAGTGGGCGGGGCATACATGAATATTCATGAGTTTCCCGAGAATTTCAGTGCATGCTTTTTGTATCTCAGCAGGTTTTAAAAAAGGGAGTTATTTTACAGCGTTGCACAAACCTATGCCTAAACTACATTTGTTCATTTTGTAACAGTTGATGATGTTTTCATCAGTTTGCACGTTTTGTGAGTGATTGCAGGCATCAGCACACTTAACCTACTTTGATTTCAGCTGGTTGTGCTGTAGCTTGCTTTAGATCTGTGTCTGTTGTTAGTTGCTATTGAGTGCAACAGCTGAAATAAAGTTCATCTAGCCTGGTGTGATTCTTCTTAAACTGTTAGGCTGTATTTATAAAATGAATAGAATCCAAGACCACACACACACACATGCACGTGTTTCTTTAATAAGTAACATTTTAGTTTAAACAAAATTGTATGGACACAAGTTTAAAAAGTAGCCTATATTTGGTACTCTGTAGATGAGAAAACAAATGCGTAAGAAACTAATTTCATGTTAAAAAATAATTGTATTAACAAATGTTCATAAGTGTGCTTGTTTTGATATGATATATACCATACTGTTCTAAGGGTTTGTATTAGTAAGGTTCATGTTCACCGACTGCATCAATTAAAAATATTAAAAAACATTAATATTGTGGAATAATTTTTACAGCGACAGGATTCACAGATGAATGGAAAGTTCAGAAGAACAGCATTTATTTGAAATATAATTTTTTTTACATTATAAATGTCTTTACTGTCATTTTTATTAAATTATTGCATCCTTGAAGAACAAAAAGATATTTTTTTAAAATAATAAAATCATAGTAATCCCAAACGTTTGAATGGTAATGTCCAGAATCAAGTGAAGAATTGTTGTTGTTGTTTTTTAGCTTTATCATGTCATATTTTTATACAGCAGATTCTACAAGCACGTTAACATCACACTCTCGTCTCCGCTGTTGTCTTGTTTTGGTGCATACATCTTTTTAGTTTGTAACAAGGATTCAATAGTGATTCATGCTCAATATTCAGGAAAACTTTATTAATGGCATCCTCCATGACTAACGTTTTCCTGGATTTTGCGTGTGAATCACTATTGAACTCATATTTTTAAAAACAAAATGTCTCACATAACATCAACATCCACACCAACACACATTTGACCAACGTCTCATCACAAGCTAATCAAGGCCACAATGCAATCTTTATTCCACTTTATTTTTTATATTTAGAGGCCCTTTTTATTTATTTATGTAGTCATTTAGCAGACGCTTTACACATACATACACATAACAAAAAGAAAACAGTAGATAGAATAGAAAAAGAACAGAGAAAGCTAGTGTTAGAGGCCTTTTTTAAAGAAAACAAGCAGTTGGAAAACGAATAGAGAGTGCAAGTGTTAGAGGGTCAAGTCAACAAATAGATAAAATAGAATTAGAATAGAGAGTGCTAGAGTTAGAGGGTCAAATATAGATGGAAGAGATGTGTTTTTAGCTGTTTCTTGAAGATGGCTAAGGACTCAGCTGCTGGGATTGAGTTGATCATTCCACCATGAAGGGAACAGTTTATGTATATATATATATATATATGAAAGCCTAATTAAGAGTATATCTACACTGTAAAAAATATTCCATAAAATTTACGGTAAAAAACCGGCAGCTGTGGTTGCCGGAAGTTTACCGTAAAAAATACGGTAGCGATGTTTTAGGTATTAACTTAAATTTACAGTTAAATACCGTAATTTCATTAACTGATATAATGTTAATATACCAACCTACTGAAGTACTGAAATCTGTTTTGTAGCTTTGTAATACACTGATA